TATTTAAAGCTACTACAAAGAACTTTAATTTGTGTTGATTTTGACATTCCTTGTGGACAAGAGGAAGAATTTGTGAGCATTAGACTCCCTTTAGGAAATCTCAAGTTTGACTGCAGCAGAGGTCTGACAGTATGTCCCCGCTCAGTCCTGGTTGTCCCGCGCCTCCCTTCCCTCCAAAGGCCCAGCTATACTGCCTGGGCCTCCAGCAGCGTATGTGGTGGACTCTTCATGGACTTAAGGACATAAATCAAACGGGGCTGGTGGGGTAGCGTGAAGTCAAACTGTTATTGGACTCAAATGGATATTACTGAGGCTGTGTAACATGTTCCCTTTAAGAGAAGTAGTGTAACCATGGTAACGCAACATCATTTTTGGGTGTCAGTGGTGTGCGGCCCAAAAAAAAAAAAAAAGACGCATGCTTTGTTAATCCCGGCACTTCTACAGTATGACTAAACCTGCCACATGTGTATTCATAATTGGAAATTAGCATAATGAACATTCCAATAAAACTATATAGGGCTCTGCCCCATATGGACTATATTGAAGTCCTGCTTTCGGACATCCATATATCTTATGTCTATCATATATAACAGCGTCGGCAGCGGAATGAAGGGACCCTCTAATACCAAGGAATGGGGAAAAAGAAATAACCACTCATACAACTCAAATATTGAGTTTGAAAACAAAATTCTAAATACAAGAAAATTGGTTAATGCTTCAAGTTCTCCTAAATCACTCATACAAGCCACTGTAGAACAAATCCGTCCGTACAAGTGGTGCTTGCATGACTCCACAACCATTCACAATAAATAAGTCAAACACGTGAGTTAGAGGAGAGCTTTAATGAATGCATGAAAATCAGAACCTCATTGAGGATTTTCACGTCAATTGGGTTTACAGGAATTTCCTTTTAAAAATCATGTATTAAGTCCACATGCATAAATCACGTAAAATACATTATTAACAGCTGATCTAGCAGAGTTAAACGTATTCATCTTAACATGTAAGTCCATTAAAAGGTTCATCCTCAATACGTTCTCTAAACGTTGAAATGTTCAGTCCTCTGTGACGGACGTCTTCCTCTGGGACAGCATCAGGTCCTTGACTTGCGGCGTCAGGACCGCGAGCTGCGTGCGGACGCTGCGGATCTCCTCCTCCTGCTCCTCCGCCTTATCGCTCTCGGCCTCCTCCTGCTGCTGCTGCTTCCTGCTCTGGTTCTGGCTCACCAGCTGCTTCACCACCAGGCTCTGGTAGGCAGACAGCAGCTGCTGCTGCTCCTGCAAACGGCACATGGACGCAGGCAAACAATTCAGCGGTTTAACCCACCAAACAACTGCTCTATTGCACCGACACCGCGGCAGATGGCGATTACAGACAGATGCAGAGTCTGGATAAAGACAGTGCTGAGATGATGAAGCAGTGTGTAGCCAATATTTGCTGAAGCTGCACTATGGAGGGTCTTCATGGAAATACAAACGTGGTACTACAAAAGATGATGTATGTTTGTTCTTATGTCACTGGGGGAAAAGTATTCTGTATGAAATGTGATGAAGTACTGAAATGGTACATCAAAACATAAAAAATTAAAAAAACGGACCATTAAATTACGATAATACCTTTGCGAGTGTTTTGACTTTTATCTAAAAAAAAAAAAAAAAGAAAACTTCTACTTCTGGAGAGCAATGCCTGGAGGAGACACCAAAGATGCCACCAAAAGTTCTTCCCTACGATTAGATTCATTGTGATGCAGACTCTAAAACCAGTGAGGTGTCAGAGGAAGTTGATCAAGAGTCCCATTGAATCCACATATCATCCTGCCAGACAGACTTCAATCCAGTCAGCTATAGAGTGCATAAGGTGACTTACCGCCCCTGTACAGTGACACCGGTAATTGGCAATTTGAACAAAAGAAAGGCGTGATTTGGTTGTAGGTATTGATTCTAAAATAAATCTGGCAGCTAGAGCTTCCTTCGAAATTTGGAGGTTTGGCAGAGTGTTAATGCGCTCCCCCGGAGAGAGAGAGAGAGAGAGAGATAATGAGAATGCGAGGTATTCGCGAGGTGAGTCGGCGAGTGTCAAGACATACCGTGGATATCCGTCCGGTGAGGGTGCCGATGATCTGAGGCACGCAGCGTCCAGGGGCGTGCAGCATGCATTGGGTGCTGGCCTGGAACAGCAGCACGCTGGTCAGGTGGAGGACCAGGGCCGGATCCTCCGCCTCCTTCAGCTGCTCGGTGAGAGCCTGACGGTGCAGGAACAGCGCCTGTCTGGATGACACGCGGTAAACGTACGTCAATACCGCAACAACTTCAAATGAAAGCATTTTAGACAAAACATCCACGATGAAAACTCTAAAACACGTCCTTACCTCTCCCTTTTCTTGTCTCCCTTCTTCAGCATGAACCCACACACCTCTGCGCAAGTCTCTATGTTGGTCAGGAAGTCTTCGACAGTCTGCGGAGGACGAAAGAGCGAAGACGTTTCCGTCCCTGTATTTAAGCGCATGATGAAACCGACGGGAAACGTACTCACTTTGCCGTTCAGGCAGTTGTGCAGCTTCATGAGCGGTCCTTTGATCTCCTCAGACAGTTTAACCAAAATCTTCACTCTGACCTGAGGCAACACATCAGAGACGTTCACGATCAAGCTCTAATAAGTCCCACAGTGCATTTCAAACAATGGCCTAATTAGCTCCGACTTGATTTAAACGTGATCTGGGCTCTCTGCCTCTCCGGCTGAATGCTGTTATTTAAGGCTACCGAGAGAGCAGACGCAAGAAAACAAGAGCAGGAACTTTTTCTCCGACCTCGTTGGTGATGGTGCCGGGATTCTCCGTGGACATCATCAGGTCGGCGGCCAGGAAGTTGACCAAGATGTTGGTGACGTCGGTGCACAGGGTCTTCAGGATGTGCTTGGCAATGTGGACCTGGGTTTCATCTGCAGGATTGAAGATAAAGTGATATCAAATAACGGCAATTGACGCAATTCTTCACGTCTCTGACGGAGACAAACTCAAAACAATGACAACAATTCCAGCGGTTCAGCTCCCTAATAAACTGGACATTTTTTTTGGTCGCACTACAAGACTTGGAGAGCAGGATTTACCAGAGAAGAACTTGTTCCCTTTTTCGAAGAGTCGGATGTTGTTGTACAGGCTGGCGATCTCCTCCTGCAGATCCTTCATGCTCTGCTTCTTGTTGGCCCTCGACGGAGAGCTGGTGGAGGACATGAACACTGTTCGCAGCACCTCCTGGTAGGCTTTAGCTAGAGGCCTGGAGAGATGTTCACAGTGAGAGGACTGACGTACTGTTCTCAGCAACAACAAAAACAAAAAGCAAACTTTTTTTAGACAGAAAGCTGTGTATTACCTTACTAAATGCTCTGCCAGCTCGGAGAGGATTTCCTCGGGGCAGTCGCTTACTCTCTGCTCTAAAACTGCTACGATCTCCTCCTGGGCCATAAAGGGGCCTGCAGACTGTTTACTGCGATCTTAGCAAAGGTAAAACACAAGCTAATTAGTCTCACAGGGATACTACCGTTACCTTTGCCTTCCATGAAAAAAAACAAAAAGAAGAGCTTAACAACCCAGGGGAGAGATCTCTAGCCAACCAGCCATTACGCTCTTGTTACAGTAAAATGCCTCACTGAACAGGCTTAATGTGCACATAGAGACGTTATGTCCCCGTGAAGATGAAACAGCTCTGCGGCCGGGACTGTACTTTGCTGCGACGGTCCGGTTTCCTCGTCGCTGTCCTCGTCTTTCCTCCCTTTCTTCTTGGTTTTACGGATGCGGATCTCTCTGGCGTTGCCTCCGCCGCCTGATTTCACGCTGCCGCTGCCCTCTGGGGAGACAAACGGTTCACAGAGGAGATGTAATCCAAGAACAAATGCCCTTCTGCACCCTGATCAAACATCACATATGCACGTGAAAGTAAGCAGGATCTATAGATCATTTTGTATTTCTATTGGACAAGAGGTCTCCTACTTCACTGAAAAGTCCGTACATGTGCATTTGGTGGCTTCAAGTTTCCCCATCACCCATGTGTTAGCTGCATACTGACTGATGGGCTCCTCACTGGATGTCACGAAATCACCTCGTACGTGAAAGTGAGATTTAAAGTGAGCAGAGAGACACTTTCCCCCTTCATAGATGAATGTGACAACAGCTGCACAGAGAAGCCAAAACGTCCTCATTCTTGGAGACAATTGACCCTTGGCTAAGCCCCGCCCCCCCCCCTGCTGATACTCGTCAAATACAGACATCTTGTTTAATCTTTCCACTGTTGAACAATAACCAACTCTGGTTCGGTCAAAATAAACCCGTAACAAACCCCTTTTATTTCTCATATATTTTTCTCGCAAATGTATTTCTTTATCATATCAGAGAATATTTAAGTTGTTTTTTTTTTTTTTTTTCTTATATTATTTCCCTCTCCCCAGTTCTGTAATGTTTAACCTACAATGGCTTTAATACATTGTTGTATCCATGATTATCAATGGAATATATTTTGGTTTTGGCAAAAAAAACATTTTAAAACATCCCTTAGGCTCTGGGACCTTGTGATTGTCATCATTTTGATTAATATTTTGAGAAAAGAATCTTTAATTATTTAGTCTTTTTGTCTTAAGGGTCTGTGACGGCTCACAACGAGGTGCGGGCACATCGAAGAAAGCTGGCAAAAAGAGGATCCAAATATCTAACGCTCAGACATAAGAAATGTGTCAGGGGACAGGCAAAAGCATTGACGTTTTTCTGTGTGTGTGTGTGTGTGTGTGTGTGTGTATGTGTGTGTGTTCTCAGGGTAAAGTGGGGAGGACCAACCTGTTGCCTTCTTCCTGCGCTCTGCGTCTCTCTTGTCCTTTTTAGAAGTCGCTGAGCTCTCCGTCAGCATGGATGCTTGCTTCAGATCATCTTCAGTTATCAGAAACACCGGATTGTTCTTGACTTCCTGAGAGACACATTCAAATAAAAAAATATAAAAATACACAGACACTGGTTTCAAAGTGTTTTATATGTAATATATGCACCTCCTGCAGGGAGCATTTTGCCCATTGGCAACTTTTGGTCTCAGACACAACTCTCTCTCTCCGTTGCTGTTGTAACTGACCGGGAACCAGCAGGCAAGTCCTCCACCTCTGACATTTCCTTTGCGCTCCCCATAGTGTGACTGACTCGCACACCAATCGGCTTGCTGTGCTAACCTCAACACCTGCTGATCACAGCGGACGGCTAAAAGTTTCCAGGCTGAACTAGCACTTTTGAACTTCTGCATTACCTTTACTGTAAAAAATAGACTATGACAGAACAAATAATTCCCTTTTGTCAGAAATACATCTGTAGACTGAATTCTGGCACCCAATGCTACACAGGAGCTTCTGTATGGAGATGTGTACCTTCAGAGCTTTGTGCTGCATGGCGTCGTCAAACAAAGAGAGGCAGTTGCTGATGAACTTCTCGCTGACGACGACCGTTTCCCCCAGCACTCTGGCAGAGGACTGGACGTTGGTGTTTCTCATCACCTGGTTGATCAAAATCCCGACGTCCTCCATTGACAGGCAGCTGGGCAAAATCGGCTAAAAAGGAGTGAGAGCGGGAATGAAAAACGGAAGTTACTAATATTCTTACCATAAAATGGTGACTTGGGTAAAGACAGAGCGGCGCGAGCACCTGTATGTCCGTCCATGTGTCGGAGTTGACGGCTTCCTCCACGGAGGCCTCCACCTGGTCCACCAGAGCCTGACCCACACAGGCTGCTCTGAGGAACAGCAGCTTGTTGGACTTGAAGCGCTTCCTGATGTAGCTGGTGGGGTCGGGGATCCCCAGTCTGACCAACGCGTCAAACTCTGAGGGAGACAGACGTCATCAGAGTCATTAAGACTGCAAACGCACCACTGTTCAATGAGTGTCCAATCAGAGGCTACCTCCAATCATGCCAACAACTAGCGGCGTAACGGATCATAAAACTTTGTTTTTTGCCGACGATATTGATTGCAGATCATTGGTGATCCATATTGGATTGGTTGTTTACAATGCAACATTATCAGCATAAATGCTGATGTCCCAATCGCATCTTTTACCGAATATTGGTGTATAACGATTGTCAGTAAAAGTTTATTTCACACTGTGATGGTTAACATTAAACTGTGTAATTTATCCGTGGTTCACATGTGTGCCGAACCATGAGGGAGGGTGATCCGTACGGATCACGGATAGGCAATGGTCCGTTACACCACTATTAACAACCTGTATCATAAACTACAGGCTGCTGCAATCATCCAACTGGTCCAATCTCAGGTAGGCAAAAAGAAGAAATGAGAGGACGACCCCAATATGACTGTATTTGCAGGTTAGCTGGTCTGCTGAGGCTAAGGCTTGACTTTAATCGTGATGATTTAAAAGCCATACCTAGATATCCGTTCTGCTGGAGGAACGAGTCCACCCAGGAGTTCTGCGTTTTGGCGTAAATATCGGGGATGTACACGGCTTTGTCCTGCCGACCTCCAACCACGCTTCCCCTGAGACGTCCAGTATTCACCAGCTCCTCCAGGACAGCTGGGGGACAACAAAACCCACCGCGACGTCAAACACAGAGACACATCACACCCTGTCAAACACAGAGACACATCAACCGCCTCTCCTTACAGTACAGGAGATGTTCCTGAAATCCAAACGCTCCAATCATGCTGCTGACAGGCGTTGGCCTAAGGGATGAAGTAAAACAGGAGGGGCTTTAGTGTAACAAGTGTCCAAGTCTCATTCATCTAGTCGTACGCTCACTACTTCCCAAGCACATGCTTTTTAGCCATAAATGTACAACTTAAAACACGCTTATGCAGGCGTGCTGCGAGAACTGTTTTGCTGTTATTAAACCTTGACCCCATTTACCTCAATTTATCATGGATTTAGTCCGTTTTTAGACTCTCTGTTCACCGCCATGCAAAAGGTTTCTTCCAAGAATTCAAGGTAACACGTAGTGAGTAAGTCATATACAAAATGGTACTCTGTGGGGTGGAATATTCCTTTAAATCCAAAACTGCCCCGAAACCTTATTGCACGTGTTGTTGCACGAGGCCCAATGTGTGAAATATCTTGTCAAAGTTTACCTTGTAATAGCGCTGAACAGTCCTCGTATCCTGGCTTTGTGACGAGCAACGAAAGCTGGAGTGAATATGACCCCCCTGTTGTACTGGTCCATTTCTCCTTGGATGAGCTTCCCGAGACGCTTCGACAGCTCCTGAGATTTAGTAGAAAACATGCAGGAATTCATTAATTTTAGTCAGCAAGCAACAACATAGGTTTGAAGCCAAGGTTACTAATCAATAGTCTGAATAACAACATTTCATAATTCATTGCTGATACGATGAATGCTGCGGTGCAACTCACCTCAGATAAGAAATCTCCCGGGAGGTCGTAGCTTTTACACAGCTCTGCAATGCTGATCAAACCGGCCTCCTGCAGCTTGTCGTTCACATCCTCGGCCAATCGGTTCAGGTACGTGCTGCAGAAAAGGCAAGACGATCAACATACTGAGAAAGTTTGACAACGTTTCCTCAGCATTTGCTTTTCATTCTGCTTTTTGCCTTTTGAATTTAGAACTGTGTTTCACACTTCAGTTTAGATTTAACTGGTTAGTTTATAGTTTATTTTTGGCACTGGTGTTAACATAACTTCTATGACATTTCTTTTTTTAAATTTGTACTCATGTTTTGATTCTAATGTTGTAATTTCCTTTTTCTTTATTAAAAAGTATATATATATTTACCTTACTCTTATTGCTGTTCTATTTTGCACTGGTATCAGTATTACTACTTATACACTTAATACTCTATTGTTCATATAAATATATATATTATGTCTTTAACTAAGCACGTTCTTTAAAAAGGATATTCCTCTATTGATTGTCTTTGTTCACGTTTCATTTCTATCCATGAAATAAATCAGGTGTCTTTTCACACAAGGTGCACTACTTGCTGCATCAGTGTCATCAATTGGAGTGTATTTGCGCAGCTTTGACACACTGACTCACACTGCCCCTGTGTGATCAAAGAGTCACTTAATACTCACTCATCAATAAGTTGTCCCAGTATAAGTTGAATCCCTTTATCGGACTTGGCCATGTCAATCGCTCTATTTTCAACATGGACCCAATCCACATTGATAATCTGAAAGGAGGGAGATCAAGACACAATTATTTTAAAAAAGTTTTAAAAACGGATTTCAGAGAACATGAATAATGTGTATTATTATACATACACAGTGGGTGACACACAGGGCTCAAAGCAATACTTCAACTTGCTAATACACACCTGCTGGAGGTCCACGATGTTGATTCGCCCTGTGAAATAGAATTACAGGATGTATTCACTGTTATCAAGCAACTGTTAGTTCTACTTGTGTGAAGCATCATAACAGAGAGTACAGGAAGTGATTAATTCCCATAGAACGTGAATGTTACATGTCGTTTTTAAGCCATGCGACAGGTCTTTTCTTATCGTTTCGTGCTACTTCAGCTGGTAAACTGACCTCCATGGACGTAGAGTTCATCCCGGATCTCCCTGCTGATTTGTGCCGGAGTGATGTACTCCTTTCCGTCAAGCGTGTGCACCACATCCAGCTTCTTCTCTTGGACCAGTTTTGCAATAATTTCAATGCAATTCCTCTCCGATAGCCTGAAGAAAAAGGTCCACGTTACTATATTGTCACTAGGGCCGTTCCCCCTTATTAATTATAATAATGTATATTATTTTTGTATTGTTATTGCTAACGACAGCTGTAAAAGAAAGGAGACAATTCACAACTAGCTTCGGCGTTACTTCTAAATGAAAGTTTAATGCTAGCTAGCGTTAGCTTCGCGGCTAACAGCTGCGTGCAGTGTAAACTGGGCTTACCTTTGCACTGTGTCTGCAAACTGTACTCTCTGAAAATCGGCAGCAAGCCTTCGGATTTCTTCCCAGTCAGTCGCCATTATTAAAAGTGGATGTGTTTGCAAAAACAGTCAGCTGTCAGTGCTTTTCTCAACCATCCACTATCAAGGAGCAAAGGTCCGGCTAACTTAGCTAACGAGACAGCTCTCTGCTTTAGCCACACGTCAACATTTACAGTGACGTACAACCGAGAGCCAAGAGGACCAAATTTCCTCCGCCCAACAATAAGCGCGCTGAAGCAAAGATGTTCTCTAGTGGTGCTATGACTCCACTACGATGGGGTCCTATTAGAAGATCTCAGAGAAACATTCGGACGGTACAGGTGGTCTGGAGCTGGAGCAGTTCAGTTATTTATAAATTAACTAGTGATTCACTTGGAGACAAAAGCAAAGTACAAATTGCTATTTTTTTTTTACATCAACATTGCAGCAACACAGCCTACATTACATCTCTATTAAATTTAGAGGCAACAGGGAATCATCGAAGCAGAAGGTAGTTATCAATAAATAAAGAGGACATAAAACAAATAAATCAAGTGAAAATTTGATATTCTGAAATAGCATTATATAAAAATATATAAACATATACAGGCACATACAAAGGACAAAGAGGCCCTATACATTTACTGTTTACATAACCAACCAAAGGTGTTTTTTATTTTTTATTTCTAGACTTTGAAATCATTTGAAGTGTTCTAAGATTTATATTTTTTAACCAGCTTTTTTCTGCGGTCAAAAGCAATTCCACTTGAAATTCCCTGACATGAAAACATTTGGAAACCCCCCCTCTCAAACTGCATTCCTGCCTCTGCCACACAGTGAAACATGATATCAAAGCTGGAAGAACACAGGCTGCAGTGCAGGCCTGTGAACTCTAGGGAGCAGTAGACTACAAGCCATTAAATTCCTTCCAGGGAGCTTAACAGATGGTGCTGTGTTGTATAAAGCACTCCATCATGCCGGCAAAGTCCTGGTAGGAGTGGAATACTGTAATTATATGTCATAAGCATATTCACTGCAGGCTTATATGTAATTAATTGCAAGTTAATTTGTCAAAAAGCCCAATCTCGATTAGAAAACTGTCCTTCTGTGTCTGGCAAAAGTGACTCACAGCCATGGACACTTTAATAACTTCTCGAAAATGCCCTCCTCATAACCAACCTCCATATATAGTATGTATATAGTGTGGCTGTATTCGGATACTGTATGACATACACACTTTCTATGAGAGTCAAGAAGAAAGGAAGCAGTAGCCTCGGGCAAAGTTTTAGAATGAGGAGAAAAGTTGTAAGTGGATTTGTTCAAACTTTAGGATATATTATATGATTCTCTGCCTTCAAGCTCAGATTTAAATGACCAGTCAAGGTAAAGGAATATTATGAGATTAAAGTAAGTTATGGAGGTTTTTTTTTTTTGGCTGCTTTCAGAGGAGTGTGTGGGTGGCATTTGCAGCCTCTCTGAAAGTGGAGAAAACAGAGGAATGTCTCAGTCCGACCTGTTTGAATATTAGATCGTTTGTAAAAAAAAGCAAAAATGGTGGGCCGTTGCAAAATTCCCCTCTGTTAGGGCCTTTTAATGGAATTTCCCAAATAACTTAGAGGGCAGCTAATAACCGATCATCCTATTCCAGCGCCTCAGAGCAGCCGGCATGCATAAACCTGGTCGGTAGCGGTATAAGAGGGGACACACATAACTCAGGGGAGACAAATGTTTCACGTTGAACATGTGTGGAAGTATGCATCTTTAGTCAATTGCCACAGGTTTATGTCAGCACAGTCGGGGTGAATATGGGATGGTTCTATATTAATACAAAGTTAAAAAATGAAATCTACCTCCATGGGAAACTATGCACTTTTGTACACTGCTGCAGTTCTCTGGGATCTCTGAAGCAGCTGAGAGGGAAATGTTGTTTTTAACCCCTTTAGGACCAAAATGGAAATAAGCTTTTATTAGCTTTATTATGTTTTACGCTCGGGCAATTTTAACACGAGTATGGTGTGATTGCAGTCGTGTATTAACCTTTATTACTGACAAAAAAAAATAATCTGTTAAGGAGTTTGTGAACAATTTTAAATATAACTTTGCTGAGGGATCAGTCATGTATATAACTGATCAGGCACTTATAATTAGGTTTTATGGTTTTGTGTATTAGTGTGTTAGTGTGTTTGTGTTTTGTAAATGTTATACAAACACATATAACAAGAGGAAGCCAATCCAGGGAGACGCATTGCAAACTATATTAAGCTCTGTGGCATTTACTACTGTGTCTGAATAAAAACATATATGAATTTCAACAATTGTGCAAAGATGCAGAACAATTTAAATTAATCAGCAATTAATTAATTAAAATATTAGTAACTCGACCGAGTTACCTGTTTAGTGCAGTTGTAGTTCAGTTGTAAATTAGACATGCTAAATGCAAACATCTTTTGTATCTTGTTGATGTCTCAAAAGTAACAGTTCATATGCAGAGAAATAGCCACTGGTTGTTATATTATCATACAGTATTTACAGCTATTACAGTTATTTTATAATAGCTTATTTCATCAGATTATTATTACCGATGCATTTGTGTGTCAGCTTTTTACTATAATAAGTAGTTTCAACTGTCAAATAAATGTAGTGGAGTAAAAGTACAATAATCAGCACAAAATAGAAAGCACAAGTTCCTCAAAATTGCACTCGATAAAATGTAGATTTACATTTCAGATTGTTTTACCCCGTCTTGTCTGACTTAAAGCGCAATTTTTCCATTTGTCTCTTACATGCGGGACTACTATGGGAATGTGTTTTTAATTTTCTTACATTTGTATCCTCAATCATTTTCCTGCGCAATAAAAGTCACCGAAGAAATACGTACATGAAATCCTACATGTTTGTTTTAATCTCTATGATTCTGTGATTTAGTAAATAAACCTACAGATTTCTGAATTCAGTACTTGCGCAGATAATATGTGGAACTATGTACCAATATGACTTTGACTCTCTCTGACTTTCTTTCACCCTACCATGTGAACCTTACATTTCTCTCTGTCATGCTGGTTTCACAGCAGTGTAACCAGAGTGCTCCCTTCAACAGACTGGAGTCGGATTGGATTTATGCACACACCCAACAACCAGATGCTCCATGGTTTATGTTGCTGTGTGATGGTGCTGGAATCCTGAATGATGTCATTCACTGAGCTGCATTGCTTTACGAGCATGCCCCATCCCTGACACAGACTGTTTATGCATCCTATGAGATAGGGGGCAGAAACCACTTAAACAACCGCTTTATATCACAGGCCCGTCTGCAATTCAGCTCTCTATGACCCTCTATTAAATCTTAGTCTAAAGTAGCTTTATAACGAGCTAATTGAGTCCTCAAAAGCTTTGATATTAAGAATTAAATGAAAAAAAAGTGTATTTGATTAGCCTTCTTCTTCTTAAAAGTTCTTCAGTCTAATTTCAAACTTCAAAGCCTGATAAGAATGTAGGTCATATTTCATCAGTGAATAAGTACTGTGAGACTGCTTCTTTGAATTGTAATCAAGTTGTCCGTGAGTAAACACAATTGTCTCAGCAGTTGCGAACACGTCTCTCCGGTGACTTCAAACAACTGAATTTAAGATACTGTTGATTGTGTGGAAAATTTGCTTTGAAGATGTCACCGAACAACAAGAAAGGTGTTTGTTAATAACGATCCGTTTTGTTTTATTAAATGCATGAGAAATGTGTTACATCCAGTAGGTTTACACACCCAAAAGACACCAGGCTACTCTGAAAATTCATGCACTATAACAATCTGCGCAATCCCTGTCTACATGGAGCAGATCAGTAATCATATTTCTCCCTATACCCCTGACTTTAACCAGCCTTTTTATATGCATGGTGTATATAGCTGCACTAATCAACATGTAATATTAAAAATTTACTAAATATGTAAAGTGAAAAATGTTGCTTATAGTGATGAACCCACGGATAATTAGCTTATCAGATGACTTGCATTTCCCCTCAGCTCTAATTCTGACCTTTTTAGCATCTTTCAGCTCTTTGTTTGGGTTTTGTGACCCGCAACTGAAACATTTTGTCACGGTTCTTATTAATGTTGTTTCCAGGCAATTTCCTTACTCCTATAAAAGTATGTCCCCATACAGCTAAACTGCATTTTCAGGTACTCGAGGGATTCCCCCGCATTACGGTTGCCGTTTTAAACACATGGTTTGCGTGGTTAATTGCAACAAAACGCAGAAAAAAACACTAGGTTTAGTTAGGGACGTAAATCAAAATGTTGACTTTTGGTTTCACACAGAACACGAACAGTGTTTTTTAGACCTGTCCGAACCACCCGGACGTCCTCCCTACACAGACTTCTACAGATTACGATTACAAACATATTTGTGATATACTTGACAATGCATTTTTGATGTATGTAAACAATTTTTTTAGGAAAACACGTTGTTCCAGCAGCAAAAAAATTGAATGAAACTTGTGCACAACCTGTTCAGCTCCAAACAGCAGAAAAACTAAATTAGCAACTATCTTATGAACATAGTAGGCCCATAGCATTTAGCAAGAGACAGATATTTCTTCTTAGGAGTTGGTGGAGACCAAAACAGAGCTAAAAGGAGAGTAGATATTGGATTTACAGTCAGGCGGCCAGAAACTCAACTCCAAAAGAATGCTAACGTCGCTCTGTGTCTGTTGGATAGGAAACTGTTTGCTAACATGGGCACCACACCAAGGTTATAATGCAATATGTTAAAGTTTACAGCTTGTTGTGCTGTCTTCAAGTGGTCCCACAAAAAATGAAATTACAGCACTGCACAAAGTTGACAGTAACACGTCAATTATAATTTATTATATTGGGTTTTATTTTTATAGCTCCGGCCATTGATTTTATTGGTACAACAGTAAGTGGGCCTACAATAAGCCAAAATGTAACCAGGAAGTCAGGCTACAAGCTGTTGTGGATTATAATATTTTTAGTGCACAACTTGTCTGAACATCTGACTGCTCAGGTTTCCTAACAATGGAGCCATGAAAAATAAAACCAGAGTAGTGATAAACCACAGTTTGCCTTTGAGTGCAGGTAAACACACAGATTTTCATGGTGCATTGTTGGTTATTCGACTTCTGAAAGTTCAGCCAACCAAAATCTGACTCAAAATCTCTCCCCCATCTTTTCAGGCTAAAAATAGAGCAGGGCGAGCATGAGG